TCCCTAACTCAACTTAGTTTATTTTAATTGCATTTTAATTTCCTTGCATCTTAGTTTAATAAACCAATCTCTATCTTTGCAATCTTGTGATCCACTAGAGTAGAAGTTAAATTCCAACACGTATAATCCATTGGGACGATCCCTACTCACTCTTGCTACATTAGTAGTAGTGTTGGTAGTTGTTTTTATAAATCTAAACTTGACCTAAAAGGCTTTTCTTGAACCGCACATTCATTACATTATTTTGGCGTATAAGAATGGCCGTCGTCAATAATCGGTAGCTAAAATAATCCAATGATGACCCTTTGATGAAGGAGGATTAATCTTACCGATTAGATCCATGACCCAACATCTGAAAGGCCATGGTTTAACTAGTAATTGCATCTCTATTGCTGGAACCCACTGCATTGGGCCGTGCTTTTGACAATTTGTACAACCCTTTGCATAGTTCATACAATCTTTTCTCATTCCAGGCCAATAATATCTATATCAGAGTATCAACCATCTCATTTTTATGCCGGTTTGGTGAGCTCCACATATCCCTTCATATACCTCGGCCATAATCTTCAAATCCTCAAACTTACTAATGCACTGAAATAACAAACCATCATCAGTTGATCTTCTATAAAGATCTCCATCCATAAACACATAATCGACTGCAGTTCTTTTTATTTTTCGATCGGTTTCTGGAGTGAGATGTTGCAAAAACGAGATGTAAGGGATTCACCAATCATCATCATCTAACTCGGCAACATCAGTGGCAAAGACTTCTTCCATAACTTGATTTCTTGTTTCAGTCGATGGAAGAGATCAAAGTGTAATTTTCATTATCCTTTCCTTCATACCACTCGGCACCTTAACTCTTGAAGCAGTCTGTGCTAAATCATTAGCTATTTTATTGATGGCCTTTGGAACATATTCCAAAGTCACATTGTGAAATTGGTTGACCAATTGGGTTGCCAACGAATGAAATGGTCTCAATTGCCAATTCAAACATCTAAAGTCTTCTGAGATTTGCTTAATCACCAAACTTGAATCTCCCACAAAGTGGACGTCTTTGACTGCCATTTCTAGTAGGATTTCCAAGCCGATAATCAATGCTTCATACTCGGCTTGATTATTTAAGCACCTGAAATCCAAAAAGAAAGAAAACAAAATTTGGTTCCCTGTTGGGGATATTAGCACAATGCTAACTCCTGAGCCTTCACTGGTACTCGAGCCATCAAACATTAAAGTCCAAGGGGTCATGAATATGGCTGCCGAGTCAAGCTCATCAAATACTTGTGATTCAATTTCTGCTGAGGGATGATCGGCAAGAAAGTCTGCCAATGCCCTTCCCTTGACTGCCTTTTGTGGAACATATGCAAAGTTGAATTCCATTAATGCTAGAGCCCACTTGCCGATCCGGCCTGTGATTAATGGCCTTGATAGCATATACTTTATAAGATCTGTTTGACAAACAATATAAACCAAAACAGGCAACATATAGACTCTTAATTTCATTGCTGCAAAATACAAAGCCAAACATAATTTCTCAATCGGCGTATATCTACACTCGACTGGAGTTAAAACTCGGTTGAGATAATATATTGCTTGTTCATTTCCTGCTTTATTTTCTTGTGCTAGCATAGCTCTAATGGATTCTTCAGCAGCCGATAAATACAACTTCATCGACCATTTCTTCCTTGGTGGCATCATGACAGAAGGACTTGACAAGTATTTCTTGATCTGGTCAAATGCCCTTTGATATGTATCATCTTATTTGAATTCTTCCATCGGCTTTAACTTGAGTAGCGGGGAAAACACATGTAACTTCCCAGCTGTATTAGCAATAAATCTCCTAAGATAGTTCACTTGCCCAAGTAACCTCTGAAACTGTTTCTTACTTTTCGGCGCACTAGCATCAATAATCGCCTTAGCTTTATTCCTATCGATCTCTATACCCTTTTGATGAACCAAGAAACCCAAAAAGCACTACAACAAATTTGTCTTTGGCGACAAAAACTATAGCGACAAGATGAATTTGTCGCAATAAAATGACCTTTTGTGACAAAAAGTAACTTTGTCGCCTTAAGCTAACTTTACTCGATAAAAACCAAATTTGTCACAAAAAGTTGTCGCAATATCTACCCCGCGAATTTCCTCCCATCCTGTCATATGGTAGAAAAAGGGTATGGCGACAAAATTGATTTTAGTGACAAATATATTGTCGCAATTTATTAAAATATAGTAACAAATATAGCTTTGTTGCGATTAACTAGCTTTTAGTGACAAATATAGCTTTGTTGCGATTAACTAGCTTTTTAACGACAAAAATTGTTGTCGCTACAAACAACCTTCTAGTGACAAATGATGCATTGTCACAAAAGGTTGAGTTATTGTGATATATATAGCTTTGTCACAATTGGTGGCATTTTAACGATAAAAATTGTTGTCGCTACAAACATCTTTCTAGTGACAAATGATGCATTGTCGCAAAAGGTTGAGTTATTGTGACAAATATAACTTTGTCACAATTGATGGCATTTTAACGACAAAAATTATTGTCGCTATAAACATCCTTCTAGTGACAAATGATGCATTGTCGCAAAAGGTTGAGTTATTGTGATAAAACTATATTTGTCACAATTGATGGCATTTTAATAACCAAAAGTATTGTCGCCACAAATAACCTTCTAGTGACTCGCAAAAGGTTGAGTTATTGTGACAAATATAGCTTTGTCACAATTGATTGCATTTTAATGACAAAAATTATTGTCACTACAAACAACCTTTTAGTGACAAATGATACATTGTCGCAAAAGGTTAAGTTATTGTGACAAATATAGCTTTGTCACAATTGATAGCATTTTAACGACAAAAATTGTTGTCGTTACAGACAACCTTCTAGTGACAAATGATACATTGTCACAAAAGGTTAAGTTATTGTGACAAATATAGCTTTGTCACAATTGATTACATTTTAACGACAAAAATTGTTGTTTCTACAAACAACCTTCTAGTGACAAATGATTCGTTGTCGCAAAAGATTGAGTTATTGTGACAAATTTAGCTTTGCCACAATTGATAGCATTTTAACGACAAAAATTATTGTCGCTACAGACAACCTTCTAGTGACAAATGATACATTGTCACAAAAGGTGAAGTTTTTGTGACAAATATAGCTTTGTCACAATTGATTGCATTTTAACGACAAAAATTGTTGTCGCTACAAACAACCTTTTAGTGACAAATGATACATTGTCGCAAAAGATTGAGTTATTTTGAAAAATTTAGCTTTATCAAAATTGATGGTATTTTAACGATAAAAATTGTTGTCGCTACAAACAACCTTCTAGTGACAACTACAAAAGATTAAGTTATTGTGACAAAACTTACTTTGTCACAATTAATAGACTTTTTGTGACAAATTATTTGTTGCCAATTTATATCTTTTAGCGACAAAAAATATTTCATCATAAAAGAGTAAATTCTTGTCACAAATTAGCCTTCTGTCACCATATACTTGTTTGGAAAATAATAAGAAAAATTAAAACTTATCATAAGGTATGTTTTTAATATATAAAAGTGTGTGTATATATATAAATATATGGTAAAGTGCAAAAAAGTCTATTAATATATATATATATAAATATATATATATATAAATATATATATATATATATATATATATTAATTCCTTGGATTGAATATGTTGCAATAAGTTGCTTTAATCTGGCAAAAGCATTTAAGTACAAGCTTTACCTTCGATATGAAATTTTCTAGAGAGAATCCGTGGGAAACTTATTTACATGACTTAGTTCGAAATTAAAAGCTTTGATAGAAATGGGTTCAACTAATGGAGATATGAGCAGGATACAAGTATGAACAAGTGTATGACTACCAATAAAGAATACCGAACAAAAAAAGTACATAGTTTATATTTTGGCATATAAAGCACTAACTTCTTATAGGTAATTATGGCTGGACCTAAAAGCTTAGATAGAAATGGGTTCAACTAATGGAGATATGAGTAGGATACAAGTATTAACAAGTATTTGACTCCCAATAAAGAATACCAAACAAAAAAAGTACATAATTTTTATTTTGGCATATAAAGCACTAACTTCTTATAGGTAATTATGGCTGGACCTAGCCGTCGGAGACGAGTCTCTCAGTCAGAGCATACTCCCATGCCCAATCTGACAGTCACATTTGCCAACATTTTCTCGGTCAGAACCTACCCCATGTCCACACCGTCACCCACATCCTTGCCTACACATTCTCAGTTAGTGTTTTTTTTATGTATTTTGGTTTTGGTTAGGCACAGTAAAGTAATTTGTTATCATTAATCATTGGAAATGATTTTATTTTTCTTCTGAACAACAAATTTACTTTTTACTTTTTTTAGTATGCATGCATGACATTGGCCAATATAAAATTCAGTGCTTTTTATTTTTATTTTTATTTTTTTTATTTCCAGTAAATTTAATTTGACAGTGCTTATTTAGCTTGTGTTAGGGAAATGGATTTTGATCAGGGTAGGATTCAAAATAATGATAGGAATTCGATAGAGTACATGCAAGGAGTAAAAAACTTTATGGAAGTGGCTAGTAAACATGTAGATTCACTCAACCGGACTCGTTGTCCATGTTACAATTGTAATAACGTCTTGTTGCAACAATTAGCAGTTGTTGAAGACCACCTTCCCTGATGGGTACGCATCAAACATTTCTCGATGTGTTAATATCAAAGATTGCAAGCTATCGGGAATGAAAAGTCATGATTGTCATATTCTTTTGTAACATTTACTTCCGGTAGCAATACATGGGTACCTTCGCAAGGATGTATGTACCGCACTAACTGAACTTAGTTTCTTTTTTAAAAAATTGTGTTCAAGGACATTGCAGCTGGATGAGTTGGAGCAAATAGAAAAGGACATTGTCATTATATTATGCAAACTGGAATGGATATTTCCCTAGCCTTTTTCGACGTAACGGTACACAACGGTTCGAAATAAAGCCAAACACGAGGGACCAATTGCTGAGGCATATATTGACAAAGAATGCCTGACTTTTTGTTCGATGTATCTCAAAAGGGTTGAGACAGTGTTTAATCGAGATGAACGGAATTACGATGGCAGTCGAGGAAATAAAGGTCAGGACCTTTTTGTTTTTATTCAAGATATATGTCCTTTGGGAGCACCGACCTATTTCAATATGCCATTTAATGATCTTGATAAGGTTCGAATGTATGTGTTGAATAATTGTGATGAAGTTCTGCCTATTTAAAGTTCTGCCTTATTAGAAGAAGACCTTGAGTTGTACTGGAATTAAAAAGAATGAGGCTAGTTAGTCTATTAACATTTTTTAATAACCTAACCTACAATAGAATTAAATTAAACAAGTAATGGATAAATGATATGTTCAACTATTTTTTAATAACCTAACTTGATAACTCAACAATGAGGCTAATAATTTTATCAACATATATATTAGCAATGTGTTAAAACTTGTGCCACTTTGCCTTTGGTAGAGAATTAGGGGAGACCAAAAATACTAGGCACGTCTGAAGAATTTGAGTCTCCTGGACTGTTAAGTATTGCAATTGATCTCCCTCATATTTTTTTGTTAGGGGAAGGTTTTTTTTTTTTTTTTTTTTTTTTTTTTTTTTTTTTTTTTTTTTTTTCGGCAGCACTTTTATTGCCAAAGCTAACTATAGAAACCAAAATCCAACAAAGCAAGACATGAACTAAACTCGTAAAACTTGTGCTTATCACCGGGATATTAAGTTTTTTAAAATATTCTTTAAAATTTTATTCTTATTTGCAGGTTTCACATTGATTGCAATCTAGCTTCCCTTTTGGATTCAGATTTCTTTTGGGATTTTGATATGTGTATGCAATTAACATTGTGTAATATTGGATTTATATATTAGGATTTTGATATATGTTGGAATTATCATTTTAGATGATTTGCACATTTTAATATCTAAATTCTTAATGGAATATGTGTTTTATCTTCTATGTTTGATTATCAAATATATTGATTTTGAGTGATATGCTTGGATCTTGGTTTAGATTGTTTAGTTTATTAATATTTTAATTTAATTTATAGGTTTCAAATTTCAAATAGGTGAAATCAAAATTATATTATTGTATTAGTGGCACGATATATTATTTTGTCACAATATTTAATTTATAGTGACAACATATTTATCATAACATGATAGATATATTGTGACAAAAGATATGTTTTGTCACAATAAAACAACATTTATAGTGACAAAATATTGTCGCAACAGGATATATATATTGCGACATTTATTTTGTCACAATATTTAACCTTATAGTGACAATGTATTTGTCGCAACATAATATATATATTGCGACAAATAATTTTGTCACAATAAAATAACTTATAGTGACAACTAATTTTGTCACAATAAAATAACTTATAGCGACAACTAATTTTGTCACAACATGTCCCTATATATTGTGACGAAATTTTTGTCACAATAAAACTAGTTATATGGACAATAATTTTGTCGCAACATATCCCTATATATTGTGACGAAATTTTTGTCACAATAAATCTAATTATATCAACAATAATTTTGTCGCAACATGTTATATATATTGTGACTAAAACTTTTGTCACAATAAAGTAGCTTATAGTGACAATATTTTTGTCACAATAAAGTAGCTTATAGTGACAATATTTTTGTCACAACATAAGATGTATATTGTGACAAAAGATTTTGTCATAATAAAATAGCTTATAGCGATAATTTTTGTCACAAAAAGATTATACATATAGTGACAAAAATTGCTTTTGTCACAAAATAGTAACAAATAGCGACAAATTTCATAGGTCTTGGAGGTCTTAAAGTGACAATTTTTGAATATTTTACGACAAATATTTTGTCGCAATTTTTATTCATTTTGTGAGAAAACATATTTTGTCACAATATATTTCTCCTCTAGTGACAAATTAACATTTGTCACAAAAAACATATTGTGACCGACTTCTAGCGACAAACCGGTGACAATTATTTTTTTTTTTTGTCACGATAATCTTATCTCGACAAAATATGTACTTTTAGCGACAAATTTGTTTGTCGCCAAAGACCAGATTTGTTGTAATGAAGTTTCCTGTCAATACTCCAAAGGCACACTTTATTGGATTCATTTTTAGCTTATGAGCCCTTATCCTCTCAAAAGATGCTTTGAGGTAAACTAAGTGTTCTTTCTTCGTTGCTGATTTCACCACCACATCATCAATATATACCTCCATAAATTTGCCGAGCATATCATGAAAAATAGAATTCATAACTCGCTGATATGTGGCACCAGCATTCTTCAACCTAAAATGCATTACCATCCATTCAAAAGTCCCAATCGATTCGGGAAAGCTAAAAGCTGTCTTTAGAATATCCTCCTCGGCTATATAAATCTGATTATAGCCTGAGTGTCCATCTATAAAAGACATAATTTGGTGCTTTGCAGCCGCATCAATCAATTGATCGACTATCGGCATTGGATATTCATCTTTTGGAGTTGCCAAGTTTATGTTTCGGAAATCAACACATATACGCAATTTTCCATTCTTCGTGATAACAGGGACTACATTTGATAACCATTCAACATACCTTGTAGTTCGAATGAAGCCAGCATCCAATAATCGTTCGATTTCCACCTTGACTTTATCTATCACCTTTTGAGACATTCGACGAGGTGGCTGTTTATATGGCTTGTAGCTATCTTTAATGAGCAGCCGATGTTCCACCAGATCTCTGGATAAACCAGACATTTCCTCATAATTCCAAGAAAAACAGTCACTGTATTGTTTTAACATACCGATAACCTCGGCTTGCAATTTTGGTTGTAACAGTGCACTAATGTAAGTTGGTCTAGATTCTGTGTTAGTGCCTAAATTCACCTCCTTTAATGGATCTTGAGTTTCTGCTTTGAGATCATCAAGCTTAGCTGGTGCCAATTCCAAGTCTTCCAATTGAATAACATCTAACTTTTCATTATCGATGTGATCAGCTTCTGCAAAATTAACCGATGGTCCTAGCTCTATTGTTACTTCTTTTTCTAGCCATTTTCTCTTTCAAGTTTCGCTTCCATCAACAACTTCTTCAATTATAGCAAGCCGAGGGAACTCTACTTTCGGCCTAGTACTTTCTTTCTGTAATTCACCGATTTCCCGATCAGTAAGACTTCTTCTCATGGTTGCTGATGTGGGTCTCCTGTCAGCTCCTGTTCCCACAAATCGAATAGGAACACATTCTTCATCATACAAAACAGCATCTGCCGAGTACACTTTTGCCACCAATGGCTTGTCATCGGCATTCACTATCTCCAACTTATCTCCATCCCAAAAGATTAGCATCTAGTGTAACGATGATGGAATGCACATATTTGGATGAATCCAGTCACGGCCTAATAACAAATTATAAGAAGCCGTGGACTCGATAATAAAAAATGCCGCAAAAGATGTTCTTCCTCCAATTTCAACCTCCAAGGGAAGAATTCCTTTTGTTCTAGTAGATCGTCCGTTAAACCCACAAATTGCTACATTAGTAGGAATACCATCTTCTATACTCTTACCAAGTTTCTTCAAAGTATTAGCCGGAATAACATTTAAAACCGAGTCATTGTCTACCAAAACTCGGTTAATAGGTTGGCCTTCTATCCATACCTTAACATACAAAGGCCTAAGTTGTTGAGTCATTGCTAACAAAGGTATCTCAAAGACTACCTTTTTTGCCGATTCTGAGGAAAGAATTGATAAATTCTGAATCGGCTGAGTTCTTCTTCCTTCTGATTTACATTCATCTTCTGTTTCTTTCTTATTTTCTGTACTTACAGTTGATGACAACGGGGCCTGGAACATTGTTGGTAAAACAAATGCCATATTACATGACATTTCATCTAGGAAACTGCCAAATTGAATTCTGAACTCATTTTTGCGTCCGGGCCATGTTAGCTGATGCTCCTCTTCCTCATCGGGTTGGTCTTTATCTGGAATACTAACTTCCTCGGCTAACTCTTCTTTGCTTACCTCTTCAATTTTCCTTTTTTCCTCGACCCTTCTCCTTTGTTCATTGCATTTCTGAGATCGAGTAAGGCCTCCATTCTGATATTGTTGAACTTTAGGGAATTTATGGTGATTGACTCGAGTCCATCTGCCCTTCACTGAGTTTGTTTTGGGTTTTACAGTTCACACCTTATATGAATCGGCTCCCTTTTGTACCCAAATTTCTGATTGAACTCGTGACCTCCTTTTAAAACTAAGATGTAGATTTTGTGGATGAAATCAGCTAGATATATTTTCTTGCTGATTTTGCCTCTCCGCCTTCACATGACTGCTGCTAGAATCATCTTGTCGAAGTTGTTCACCAGGCTTAATTGGGAATGTAAGCCTCTCAAGAATTCTTTTTTTCTTTGGTTGAACCTCCATTGTCTCTTCTTCTGGTCTATCAGGGCCAATTGGGCCTCCCTCAACTATTTCTGCAGCTCTGCCATCTTTTTAAGGGTCACATTTGATGAAAGGAACTCGTCTGATGCCTTTTCAGCCTCCTGTTGATTTTCTCGCTTGGCTAAGCTTATCACATTAGTATACGCGATTATAGGGAATGGATTGGTGTCCACCTTCATGGTCTCTGAAGTTTTCTCTGGGAACTTCAAAGTACCTTCATCGATAGCCTTCTGCAATACACCTCGTAGAACAGTACAATCATTAGTAGCATGGTTCCAAGAGTTATGATACTTACAGTATTCCTTCCCTTTTAGGTCACTTGTCGATGGAATCTTATGCCCTTTAGGCAAAGATATCATTTTATTGGCCAACAAGTGATCAAAAATCTGATCTGTTTTTGACAAATCAAAAGAATAACTTTTCCCAATATCAGCAGGACCTTTCTTTGGTGCCGATATTGATGTTGAACTGCCCCCCGTGGTCAGCTTTGGTTTAACCAAAGCTTCACAGGTGTATAGTTTCTTGATATTAATCTCTATCACGTCAACTTCCAATTCATCTCCAACTTCTACCGAGAATACCTCATAATTGGGGTCCTTGTAATAGGTACCTTTAGAAGTATTCTTCCTCTCTTTCTCTTCTTTAAGTATCTTCTCATACCGAGAATCCCTGTTTACTAAATCGAAGAGATCTTGAAACTCAACCCCATCAAACCTCTTGCGATGTTCAATGTCCAAATCGTTTAATGCCAACTTGATATACTCTGGTTCTGGCAAGCTTACTTGACATTTGAGTTTAGCTTTTTTGAACCTAGCAATAAAAGTTTCAACTGATTTGCTTGGCAACTGAGTTAAACGAGATATATCTGCCAGCGTAGCTTCTATCTCTGTTCGGTGGAATTGGGTATGAAAAATGTCCTCCATTTCGTCCCATGTCCGAATAGAATTGGCTGGTAAATTACTGTACCATTCAAATGCCACCTTAGTGAGAGAACTGGAGAATAACCTCATCCTCAGCCAAGGACTAGGGCCTGCTTCACCACATTGTGCTGTAAACCTCGCAATGTGCTGCACCGTAGAAAATTTTTCTTTACCACTATACATGGAAAAATCGGGATACCGATAATTTCTAGGCAACTTATGGGCATCGACATGATCGGGATAAGGCTTTCTGTATACTGGCCGAGCACGTCTGGGTCCCTGTGCTACCTCAGCCTGTATTAAAGCCAAAATTTGAGCCCTATCAATCCCTGCTTGTCCCGGAGGATCATTTGGGTGTAATGGAACGAATGGATTAACCCATTCTCATTGTTGATTCGCATTGCCTTGCCCCCCAGCAACCGCCGGAGGTACCAATAGATTAACTCTGCCTTGGTTTTGGTTTTCAACCACCTCTTGCTGATCTCTCACCACTGGAATTGGCTACACTGGTGGATGCTGCACATTCTGATTATGTTGATTATTCACTAGTGGTTGATACATCGGCACTACAGTTACTGCCGGCGGATATGACAATATTGGTGGGTTACCAATCGG